GGCCATGCCTGCCTCCTTCCTGCTCTCCTCTTTCCACAGCTCTACAGAAGACCTGCTCTTCTGCTGGAATCCACTTCCAGGCCAGACAGCCTAAGGCTATCCTGAAGTGAGTGTGGAGAATAAGGGGACACAGGTGCCAGTCATGGGCCTGAAAGAGGCCCTTATCTCAGGTACCCCTGCAGGGACCAAGAGGAGATCTACGAGCTGTACGATGATGTGGACCTGACAGACTCCAGCCCCAGCACCAAGAGCAAAGGTTTGTTGGCAGCGGGGCTGGACACAGCCAGCCTGGGCACCTGGGACCTATCTGCTGCAAGGGCATTTTCTGCCATTCTGTTCCCTGACAATGCAGGGGAGAAAGCAGGGAGGAGTAGGGGCCTTTCAGAAAGGTCACACCAGTTCCTGATGGGCAGCACAGCATAGTGAAGGGCAGCATAGAGGCCAAGAGCCAGTGAACATGATGTAGCCAGGGCAGAGGGGTGGCCCAGATGAAAGTGGAAGAGTCGGGTAAAAAGCGGCAAGAGGACTTGGCGGTGTATTACACAGGAGCGAGAGGGAGAGAGGGAGCTTGCCTTGGGCCTAGTTGTAGAGTGAAGCCTTCCCTGAATCGGGTAAAAGAAAGGTGTCAAGGTCCCTCATAGATCTATTGTGTTGGAGGTGCCTGAGGACTTGGGCCTGGACACAGGGTATATCCCTGACACCTCTCTCCGAGTGCTCTGGGTTCCAAAGGCCCCTTCTCTCTCCCTTCTTCCAAGTCTGCTCCTGGAGAGGATGCTAGCCTAGCAGGCCCACACCTCCGGCCCAGCACCAGGTTTAATGCCTTCACCAACGCTGAATGAAAACAAAAAGTGCTTCCACATAAGCACTTTACATGTGTGTCACTGAATCTGCACAGACCCCTACCCAAGGCAATGCCATGCCCACTTTACACATGTGGAAGCTTGAGGATCTGAGAAGTATCTTGTTGCGCTTACCCAGCCAGTACACACAAGTTCAGGTCCCCTGCTTCCAGACTGCTTCCCTGCCCTGGCTTTGGAAGGCCTTGCCTCCGGTGGGGGAACCTTCCATCAGGGGTGTCTTTAGGATGCTACCTCTCCCTCCCCATTAGTACCTCCCACCCAGATCTGCTGCTTCTGTGGCTACTTCTGAGCTTTCTCCAGGGGCTGCTTACAAAAGCCCTCTGTTAGCAGTTAGTAGAGCTTTCTGATAGGGCCCCTCCTGCTTCTGCTGTAAATGTGGCTCTGTGGCTAGGCTCTGAGGGGTCACTGTTGGGGACATGGACATGGAAAGGGAATGCCTGTGGCCACTCCACTTCCAGCAGCCTTGCAGGCATGGCCCACACCTTCCTCTTCCCCAACTCCAACCACCCAGAGCAATAGCTGCTCCACATCTTCACACAGCTGAAGGTCAGGCCCACCTTTTCCCCAGGATCTAAACAGGAGCCAGCCTTTCCCCATAGGGCCTGCTTGGGGTCACATTGCCAAGCTTGGGTCACAGGTACACCAGGTCCATCCCACACCCCAGTGTTCAGTGGTGTACTCTACTGCTACAATGGGTTTGTAGACTGCACCCATTGGGTGACCATTCCTGGTCTGGGCAGCCTCTGGAAGAAATAGGAGCAGCTGGAGGGGGTATTTTGGGTGGGATGGCACCATCAACTGAGCATCAGGCGGAGGCTGGAGGCAAGCTCAATGCCTGAAGGGGCAAGACCACCAAGCAAATACCCTCTCAGTGCGCTGCTTGAGCCTTCATTCTCCTGTTCATGAGGCTCTCTCTGTAAGCCAATTCCATGACCAACAGCCTCCTACCGGGAAGGCTGGTCACTTGCCAGGAAGTCTGCCCCACCCTGGGAGACCCTTCATAGTCTAGTCCAGTGGTCGGCAAACCGCGGCTCGCGAGCCACATGCGGCTCTTTGGCCCCTTGAGTGTGGCTCTTCCACAAAATACCACGTGCGGGCGCGCACGTACAGAGCGATTGTAACTTCGTGGCCCATGCACAGAAGTCGGTTTTCAGCCTGGGCGAGTCTATTTTGAAGAAGTGGCGTTAGAAGAAGTGGGGGGTGTCGGTCCGGCGATGGGAGACGCGGTGTAGGCAGGCCGCGGGATACGCAGTCTCTTCCTAAGCCTTAGGAGTACCCTAATTAAGTTAATAACAATGTACCTACCTATATAGTTTAAGTTTAAAAAATTTGGCTCTCAAAAGAAATTTCAATCGTTGTACTGTTGATATTTGGCTCTGTTGACTAATGAGTTTGCTGACCACTGGACTAGTCTCATCATTAGCCAGGCCAGTCCAAGAACCACACTCCTTTGGCCCCTTCTTAGAGGCTTAATTTGCCTCCAGGGAATGCTTTTGCCTCATTTTTAACCTAAATTTCCTAATTCCCACAACCCAATCTGCTCTAGGCACCAGACATGAAATGGCCTCAGAAGCTTATAAATCCTGTCTCTTTACCACTTACCATCTGGGTGAACTTAGGCAGTTACTTTACCTCCCAGAGCCTTTGTTTCCTCATCAGCAAGTTGGAAAGGACATGAATAAGGGGGAATGTCTTGAAAGCTGACAGAGGGAAGGCTCACTCAAGATCAAGCAACCAGGGTCAAGAGAGGCCAAGCTGATGGTCCCTGTCCTAATATGGTGTTCTGACTGCCCCCAGATGAAGTGCCATCTATCCAGCAACCCCCCAGGAAGCCACCACAAGACCCTGAGCTCAGGTACCACAGGGCAAAGCAGGGAGGGGCCGAGCTCTGGGATAGCTGTGGAAGGGGACCCCTGAGGTGCTCATAAGCACCAAATTCCTTGAGTGACCCAGGAAAGAAAAGGTACCTCAGCCACAGCAGTTGTTGCCTGTGGACCCTAAGGCCCTGAAGAAAATCCGGAAGGCGGAGAAAGCTGAGAGGGAGTTCCGGAAGAAGTTCAAGGTGTGGCAAGAGCCCTGGGAGGGCTGGGGTCAGTCCAGTTGCCCAAGGCCCCTGGGGTTGGGGGAGGGGGGGGGTCAGCACAGCCAAAGCTCTAACATGCCCCTCCCCAGTTTGAGGGGGAGATCGTGATTCAGACAAAGATGATGATTGACCCCAATGCCAAGACACGGCGTGGGGGTGGGAAGCACCTGGGGATCCGACGTGGGGAGATCCTGGAGGTGATTGAGTTCACCAACAAGGAGGAGATGCTGTGCCGGGACACCAAGGGCAAGTGTGAGTAAGCTGGGCTGGCAGACTGGGGAGATGGGCCCTACACTGCCAGACCAAGAATTCACCCATCCCTGCTCTTTCTGCAGATGGCTATGTGCCCAGAACTGCACTGCTGCCCTTGTGAGTGCTGCTGTGATTGGGGGTGGGGTGGGTGTTGATGGGCCCAGGGGTAACTTCTGTCTCTGCTAACCCAACTGTACTCTCCACCAGGGAAACGGAGGTGTATGATGACGTTGGCTTCTGGGGTATGTAGATGTTCTGGTCGGGTTGGCGGGGACCACAGCATCTTAGGAAGGGGTAAGCCCCCACCCTACTTCCCCAGGAGATACTTATGAGTCGTCACTGGAAGTCACCCTTCCTCCTCTGTAGACCCTCTAGAAAGCCAACCATTTCCCCGAGGACAATAAAGCCTGCAGGTGTGGGGACCCAGGACAACCACCCACTAACCCAGGAATCCTGGATCCCAGCTTAGAGGCCACAGAACTGCCAAGGTTCACACCTGACCATGTACATGGACCACATAAAGCCTTTCTTTAAAGTGATGACTGCTTCTTGTTTTTTCTTTCCCACCTGACAGGCACACAGTATAGAGACATGATCAAACACTCAGGGGTCTTTGAGGCCGACCCCCTCCTTCACGTTCTCAGGAGAAAAGTGTGGTGGGGAGAAGGTGGCAAGGAAACTAGTAACCTGATAGACTTCAAGGTTTGAATTCCTGTGACAGAGCCCTGTCAGCTGCCAATCATGATTGAGAGGGAGTCAGGCAGGACACATCCAACACTGCCCCTCCACATGCAGACAGGACAAGCGGCAACTGCTGCTCCTTACAGGCTGCAAGCAGCTGTCTAGCCCAAGTGGACCCATGTACGAGGTCACATTTTGGCGGTGGTAGCCCAGTTTTGTTTTTGTTTTAATATATTTTTATTGAATTCATGAGAGGAAAGGAGAGGGAGAGAGAGATGGAAACATCAATGAGAGAGAATCATGGATCGGCTGCCTCCTGCAGGTCCCACACTAGAGATCGAGCCCGCAACCCAGGCATGTGCCCTTGGCTGGAATCAAATCTGGGACCCTTCAGTCTGCAGGCCGACACCCTATCTACTGAGCCAAACCAGCTAGGGCAGGGGGACCCAGTTCTGATACAGCCCAGGTATTAAGTTCAGCCTGAACCTCTATGGGACTAAACATGCTCAGAAACTCACACCCTGCTTAGTGTTTTAGTAAAGAAAGCTATTATGAACTGAATATTTGGTCCCCACTCCCCCTCTCCAAATCCTAATGCCCAATTTGAGAGGCAATTAGCTCTACTATCCCCAAGAAAGCTCTTTTGTCCTTTCTACCATGTGAGGTAACAGAAGGCACTATGAACCAGGATCTGGTTCTCTCACCAGACACTGAGACTGCTGGCATTTTAATCTTGGACTTCTGAGCCTCCAGATTGTGAGAAATCAATTTGTTGTTTATAAACCACCCAGCTTATGGTATTTTTGTTATAGCAGCCAAAGCAGACTAAGACAAAAGCTGAACTGGAAATGAACCCAATGTAGTGCCTGTACCCCTTCAAGAAACTGCACAGAAGGGAGACAGGTCAGTTAACAGCCAAGTCTCCATTACCAACACAAGGGATTTAAAGTCCACTCAGGATAAAGTTTCCATAGTTAGTTCCTAAAGGGGCAGAGTTCACAGACAAGCAAGAATGGGGAGGAGACTCCTGGTGTTCAGAGCTCCAAAGGTAGAAAGGAGACTGAGTGGTTCCTGCTCCCCAAATATCGGGTGGTGGCCCCACAACACACACACACAAAAGCAAGCAGATTTCAGGAACTGGTATTTATTATCAAAGTCATATTTGATGTCAACAAGATGCCACAACTACAAAAAAAATTGCGCACATTGCAATCTCAATGCAAACAGTCAAATGGAACCCCAGTCATTAAAAAAGTAATTCAAATTACCCCAAAAAGCAACTGAATTTTTTAAACATCTTTATACATCCAGCCAACAAATTAAAATGGTTAACAAGAAAAAATACAAATTTAGAGGTCTGGTATCAATGTTTAAAAAAGGCAACTGCTTAAGCATTTCTATCGATTCGAACATCAATCTCTCGGCCACTCAGCTTCATCCCATTCATCATCCGGCAGGCTCTCTCAGCCACCTCTGGAGATTCAAACTTAACCACACCGCACCCCTTGGACTTCCCATTCTCCATCTTGATGTCCGCATACAGCACGTGGCCTGGGCACAGGGAGGGAAAAAAACACCACAACTCATCAGGCAAACCAGATCTCAGCCTCAGTGTGGGCTCCACTCAGTCCAAATCACCTGTGAATTTCGGTGGTCTGAGTCAAAAGGGAGAGTATACTCCCCACCCCTGGTGCATGAATGCCCAGAACACAGTGGCTGGGACCCAACTACTATAGCCCTCAGCCCAATTCCCATTCTTCTGCCAACAGGAAAAAACCTGACCAGCTCCACGACAGCTTCAAATGCAGGTCTTTATACTCTGAAGAGTTAGCCAAAAAAGGGGAGGCCGTGAAGCCAAATTTATAAGCAAATTTTACAGAGTCTTCGTTTTTCACTACACTAAATCACCACATTTACAAAGCCATCACCAATATGATGGATACTTTTGCACTATCCAAATATAAGCTGTGTAATAATTAGCAGTTTTCACATATTCATTCATTCAAGCACTGATTAAGCATCCAGGTATGTGTCAAGCACTGTGAAAACAAGTGCACAGGAGAAAAGCCATAGAAACACAGGGTTCTACTTCAGAGACTGCCAAGGACATGATAGTGTAGCCAGTGCTAGGAGACCACAACTGAGAAAGGGTCAACATCCTGGAGGGCTTCTCCTGGGAAAGTTCTGAAACAGAGTTTAAGTTCACCAGAGGACTTGCTGATAACAGCTCTCAACAGAGCACTTCTGGAGAACAGCACTCGTAACTCAGGATTCAGAGACAGGAGGGAGAGGAGATGAAAGAGGAAGGAACCAAGCTGTACAGGGGCTTGTGAGAGTGAACTTTTCTCTTGTCAGCCCAGGGTCACTTCCAGATATGAGGCCAGGGGGAATTGCATGATCCAATCTGACTTTTCAGAACATCTACTACAATGTGGAAGCTGAAGAGTAGAGACAGAGGGCAAGAAGGAAGGCTATGGCTCAACAGCTAACCCCAGAGAAGAACAAGGAGAGCAGCATCATGGTGAAATATGAGCCACTACTGAAACAGGAAATGAGAACACTGAGGAAGCTTTGATCTAGCAAGCCACCTAGACTCTGGCTTAGGGCTAGGCCTCCATTTTACATGGTTAAAAGAACAGAAGTTGCCCCAACCAAATGGCTCGTTTGTTGAAGCATCATCCCATACACCCAAAAGGTGGCGGGTTTAATTCTTGGTCAGGGCACATATATGGGAGGCAACCGATAGATGTTTCTCTCTCAACATAACCTCAGGTGAGGATTAAAAAATAAAACACACACACACGAACAGAAGTGGTGGGGGTGAGGGACAGGTAGGGTGGGGGGTGGGGGTCACTCAGAGACAACTTAACTTACTTTCAGCCAAAAAGTGAGCCTACCAGAATGGTTGCCTGGTGTGCCAGAAAACTACAATCACAGACCTTCAGCTTCACTCACATATAAGCTACTGCATACCCAGAGCCTGGCATTACCACACTCACAGGACCTGCTGGGCAAGTGCTCTTTGAAGCACAACTCAAGTAGGTTCTATGGTAGAAAGAGACCTTGTCTCAAATGTATTCATTTTATTTAGGTCTGTTCTTAGAAGCCATATGAGCTTGAGAATGTGACTTTGCCTGATCATCTGTAAAACAGGGACCATGCTATCTCCTTTCAAAAACCGTAAAAGGGAAAAAAAAGATTAAGGGTAATATGAAAATACAGGGGAAAAGTGTCTGACACATACAAGGAAACTCAACCTGCTTGAATATTTGCATAGGCAGAAAAATGGCAAGTCCCATCAGCCCTCTAGAGTAAATAAAGTGGCTTTTAAAACTAGGATGGAAGGTTCATTGCATAACTTAAATGCATCATCAACAAGCTACGATTTCTGAAGCCACAACATATGGAAGCATCTAGAAAGCATTTCTCAAACACTTACCACATTCGTTGAATTTGTCCTTTAGCATTTTCCATGTAAAATCAAATGGGAGCTGGGGGGGAGAAGTAGGGGGGGAAGAACAGACTGATGAGTGATTCAACCAAATCCTAATGTATAAACATTCCCATTATCTCTGAGGGTGACTTAAAGGATTTCCTATTACACAGAGAAATTGGCTGACCTCCCAACTGAGACAATCAACAGAAAACAAATTGGTCTGGAATGAGGTTTTAAACTAGCAAACCAAGTTTACTCCATTGTAGCTTTTTCTGTCCATGGGGACATCATTCAGAGAGCAGAATGCACAGCTGCCTGTGGTTCAGGCCACAGAACCACTGAATAGTAGCTAAAGGCAGTCAATTTGGTACAGATAATTCACAACCAACCATTTTTTCCTCTGTACTGTCAGGCCAAGGTTTAGTGACTCTTCAAGCCAAGAGATCAGAAAACTACAGTTCTTCATCTCACTGTTCCATCTAATACTCAGGGAAGCCCAGTGTGTTCACAGAACCCACTATTCTTGCTGGAAAGTATTGTAAGCTGTCACATTCCCTCCTCATCCTACCAGCACCAAACTTGGGAACAGTGACAAGGTGGCCTCGATGCTACTGAGCTCCCTTTCTGAAGAGAACATAACCTCTGACTTACTGGCCACCATTCGGTCTTGCTGACTTCCTGTCTCCCCTTCCTTTGTGCCTACAAATTGAGAGGTTCCAGGTGATCCACTTACATTTCTCACAAATATCTGGCAGGCCTTTCTGGCCACCCCAGGAGCATGGCCTCCAGCTCCACCGAAGGAACCTGCGAAGCTTCCTCCCAAGTTGCCACGCTCCATCTCGATGGCACGGTCAAAGCTGGCACTGCCACCGCCACCCATGGCCAGGCCCATGCGCTCAATGCCAGCGCCCAGGGCCGGGCCCATGGCGGGACCCATGCGCTCCAGGCTGTTGGCACCCATGCGCTCCAGGCCCATGCGCTCAAGACTGTTGGCGCCCATTCGCTCCAGGCCCATGCGCTCCAGGTTGTTGGCGCCCATGCGCTCCAGGCCGGTGGCCATGCGATCCATCACAGGGCCTATACGCTCCAGGCCAGCCCCCATGCCTGCGGGCACCATGCGATCCATGCTCAGGCCCATGCGCTCAATGGCAGGGCCCATACGCTCCACACCAGAGCCCATGCGCTCAATGGTCTGGCCCACACGATCAATGGGTGCGGCCATGCGCTCCAGGCCAAAGCCCATGCCGGCACCCATGCGCTCCACGCCAGATCCAATGCGCTCCATGGTCTGGCCCATGCGCTTGATGCTGGAGGCCATGTGGTCGAGGCCCAGTGTGCCCATGCGCTCGATGCCAGAGCCCATGCGGTCCATGACCAGGCCCATACGCTCAATTTCAGAGCCCACACGATCCATGCCATGGCCCAGGCCTGTGCCCATGCGCTCCATGCCAGCACCCCCAATGCGATCAATGCCGGGGCCCATCCTCTCGATCCCAGGGACACTGCCTCCACCTCCACCTCCTCCCTGCTTTGCAATGATCTCGCCTCTCTTGGGTGCATTACTTAGGATTTCCATTCCTCTGCCAAGGGGCTCTCCAAAGCTTCGATACATTCCCATCTCGTTTCTGGCAAAGTCTCTTTCAAATCCTCCACCCATGACACGCTCCATCTCTTCCTCTCGATCCCAGGGACACTGCCTCCACCTCCACCTGAAAGAGGGACACAAAACACAGGCAGATATCAAGGACTTGTGTCAGCAGGGTGACCTGGGTGCAGAGGGCTGGGTACTTCACAAGCTCACCCACAATTCAAAAACTAAGCCCCGCAATAATTTATCATTTAGATATCCCTCAAATGTTGACAACTATTAAAGCTGGGTAGTGAATAAGTACTTCATTCTTCCTACTTCTGTGCCATGGTTGAAATCTACATTAAAAAAATTTTTTAAAAGGAAAAAACCCACCCTGGAAGATTAGTATTGACAATGTTGTCCATGTTACTTTGGAAGTGCTAGTAGTTGTGACAATCTTTTTGAGACATGGCTGTCGATTCCTGAGAGCTCTGCAGTTTTCCCACCACCAGAGACTGAGAAATGCTCTCAAGGAGAGGCTCAGAAATCCCACCCTCAGATGGTCACCCGGTGTAATGGATTACATGGTGACAATTCAAAATCACTCACCACCTTTAACCTCTCCCAACTTGTCCCTTTAAGAGGCCCTGCTGGTGGCCAATCTGGCTGCATTTCCTTAGCATCTCCAGAGCATAGAAAAGCTATAATATAGCCATACAAGCAAGAAGAGGCAAAGAAAACAAATACCAACACCATCATAGGTCCTGCTGTGTACAAATGAACACAGACAACCACTTCCAGGGAACCCTACTCTGTCAGAGAAATCGCCAACCAACTTGTGTGTAACCTTGCTGGCTTTGGAGGAAAAGAATCCTATAGCACCACAGAGTAGATTCTGAAAGAGGTCTAGGATCCATACCTCATAGTTCAGCTGGACACATGTTAGCAGTGCACAGTGACCCTGTGACACTTGCAACTCTGGACAAGGAGGAACTGACTCCCACCACCAAGGCACTGCCCTCTACTTTACCACAAGCAGAGCTCGTGGGGCCCTCTCACTCAAGCTTCACCACCACCACTATCACCACCTGCCTCTGAAAATGGGCAATTGAGCCTGCAGCCCAGTACAAGATGTAAGTTAAGAACAGAAAAGTTAGCAGTTTCTATAACTGATTCCCTAACTGAACAACATCGTGACCTGGCATGAGTCATGCTCCTTCTCCATACCTGTTTCCTTGGGTGAATAACAAAACACCAAGTGGCAAAATATATGCACAATTTTAAGAATATTAGACTTTCAGAGTAGAAATTTCTCAGAAACTATAAAAAAAGGCAAGAGACTTCAAGAGGGGAGGTTGCGTGCCCACGAGCATCAGAAATGAGGACAATCTCCCCCGCTCCACCACCATCACCACCAACAGCGGCAGAGAACTGGGAAGAAATGAGTTCTAGAATCAACCCACCACAGAAAGTGCTAGCAAGTGGAGTCACCAAGGAAATGCCAAAACACTCAGAGCCATGAGGACAAATCAGGTTGAAAATAGTACATTTAGTTTTAAGTACGCATTTTAAAAAGTGTATTACTGGGAGGATATATTTCAAAATGTTTACAGCATTCATCACTGGGCAGTGAAATTTCAGATATTTACTTTCTCCATAATTTTCAGAGTTGTTATGAGTACATGCATATATTTTATTAAGCAATTTTATGTATTAGGTGACATATTTTTATAATCAGATAGAATACTTTCAGGAACTTATAATTTCATAGTATTGAAAACAAAAAAGCCCCCAAAGCATGTAAGCACATTATAATAACAATGACAAACACAGCTCACATAGCACTTAAATACTCTTTTACATGTATTAACTCATTTATTCTTCAAAACAATCCTATGAGGTAGTAGGTACTATTGTATCCACATTTTACAGTACAAAAATTAGAGAGGTTCAGTAACTTGCCAAATGTCACACA